TCCGTTTATCAGTGTGCCGGTTCAGCAAACTAGCCAAGCCACTGGGCAAAGTAACCGCTGCGGAAGTTGATGTTTCTTCAGCAGCGTCGAACGGTGAACGCTCGCTGAGTGTTTTCCTAGCCTGCGACAAGTAATCAATCTCGTGCACGGCGGCGTGGCGAGGCGTTTCTGCCGGAAAATTAGACTGGCAGGGCCTCTCCATGGCGGCAGCATCCCCTCCCTCCGCCATGCTCTTCGACGGGTGACATCGGCCCCCGGTCATCGCCGGCAACAACAAGGTACACACAAAACAGAGCATTCCATCATATAAATCCAAACCCTAGCGTAACAACGTGAAGCGAAACCCTAACGCGCGCGCCAGTGAAGGTAAAGTGACAAACCCTATCGCACCTTGTTCGATTTCAGATTGAATGGACGAACAGAAATGGGAAGAAGAGGATAAGCCCCGTTTTCTAGGGTTAGGGTTCAGTTATGAATTGGGATCCGTTTTTTTAGACTTGGTTTCGTGCAGTTCTCTCAAAGGGACATGGCAAGAGTGAGGATGAGAGAGAATAAAATAAAAAATATAAAAAGGGAGAAACTAGCGTTTTATGCTCTCAGAGATATTTTTTATAACAGGTAGTATTCTATGTCACAAACTGACTCACACTTGTCATACATTATTCTCGAAAGAATACAAACGTGCATTTCACCCGTTACCTACTGTGTAAAAAACAGAAATATATACTACAGTCACTAATCAACAACAATGCATTCCTTATATTTATTACAGTATCAACAAAAACTGAACCATTCAAAAATCATTACTTTTATTTTTTAGTTAAGATATACAAGAACAAGATTATAAATAAATGTAAGTATAATATATAAGTATATTATAATTAAAAGTTATAATAAATAGAATATTATTTTAGTTTGTATTTATGTCAACAGATTATATATATATATTCAAACTCGGCTACCTTTTTATCTTCCTAGACAGTTTTATTTTTAAATTATATTACAAATGTAAAAATTCAACTACTTACTTCATTATTTTTTATTATAAAATTATGGAATGTCTCTTTTCCCTAATATTACATAGCACAAATAGTTATTTAAGATAATTAAATTTAATAAATAAACATTTTAATATATTATATTAAGATTAAAATTTATAATAAATATATATATTTAAAATATAAATCATGTTTTATATTTACGATAAATAATTCAAAATATGATATGTAATTAAGAATATTAAATACACGAGAGATTAAAAAAGAAATTATATTATAATTAAAATTTATAATAAATAAAATTCTTTAAAATATAAATCATATTTTATAATTATAGAGTAATTCAAAATATGATATGTAATTAAGAAGATTAAATACACCGGAGATTACAAATGAAAAAATTATTTGAGATGGTTGAGAGTTGAGAGATAAATTAGTTGTAAGAAATAGCATGCATGTCTGACAGTAAGAGAATAAAAAAAGAAAAAAAACAGCTTCTAGACATGATAAATACTTATAATTATGAATTAAAAAATTAGTGATTGAAAATTATGATAAAATCAAATCAAAATATATATTAAAAATTAATTACAATATATATTTTATTAATAATTATTATTACATTTTGTCTTTTTTAAGTAAAATCTTCTCTTCTAGCCAAATCCATAAACGTCTATTTAAGATATAAAAGAACGAGAGTTTCACTTTTTTTTCTTTTCATAAAAAGATATAAGATTTAAATTATATTTATAGTTATAGTAAATACATAAATTATAATATAATCTTTTGAACCATATATTGATATTTTTAATCGATTATTAAACATCAATTTAAAAATAAAGATAAAAAAAGTGTGGATTAAAATAATAGAAAATTAAGAAAAACATATTTTTTAAAGACTAAATCACACATTTTTGCTAAATACAATGATTAAAAAATATTGACAGCGATAAATTACTATTTTTAAAATCATAATTTTTGAATAAAAAAAATTGTAGTTGAGCGTGAACAAATTTAAAAGTTACTTGTATTACGATAATGCTAAATCTAGTTACATTGTACCATTAAAGTTTCATTAAATTGGGATCATCCCAACTCGATTTCTGATATCGTTCGTGTTTCTGAAAAACTTCCCTGAATTGTTTTAAAAAGATATTTTTTAATATGTTTTTCTTTTATCATCCACTTAAGTTCTATTTGATACATGTTAAAGTATGAGATAGACAAAATAATAAAGGATAAATATTTAAATTATTAGATTTTTTTATATATTGTTTGATGGATAATAAATAACAGCAATAAAATAATTTTATCACAATATTATTTTTAATTAATTATTATAAAATTTTTATCTTCTTAATGAGAAGATAATGATGATGAGAGATGTCATTGACAATAATGATAATGATAATAATAACAATGATGATAAAGACATGGTGGTGGTGGTGCACAACAACGATAAGAATTAATATGATATATGATAATAAATGTTTTTGTATTTAGGACAAAAAATTGTCTCATAATTTATTGAGTAACAAAAAAATATCTTTTCCCCTCAAAAAAACAAAAAGAAATCTTTTATTATGTCATTCTTCATCTCTTTTTTTTTTTTTTTTTGTTCATAATCCTTTTGTAAATCAAACATAAAATAATTATCTTTATTGTCTATAGTGCCATAATTTTTTTTTTAATTAAATGGACCCTTAATGACTTCTTTCACATTTTTCTTTTGATGAAAAAAATATTCAAGGCAAAAGGGTCACAAATGGAGAATCACATGTATGGTAAAACTTCTCTCGATGTTAAAATAGTAATATTTGGTCATTAAAAATCATATTTCATAACCATAAATTAATAATTAAATATTTATTTTTTATTATTATTATTAAATGTCGGTTTTAAAATTTTGAGTGCAGCATGTCTATGTAAAATAATGTATGATAAAACAGAATTAGAATATGTGCATTTATTGTGTTTTTATATTTGGACATCACATTTTTGGAAGTTACCCTAAACCCTCAAATTTTAATTGTATAATTTTAATTTCTAAAGTATTGCAATTATATTTTACCTATTTAAGTTATATATTAGTAATTTTAGTAATAATAAAAATATATTATAATATATGAAAATTATAGTATATGTAAGTTAAATAAAATTACAAAATTTATAATTGCTATACTTTAAGAACTAAAATCATGTAATTGTAATAATTGAGATACTAAAATTACTAAATTAAAAATTAGGAAATCAAAATTACATAATTACGATATTCGAGAAACTAAAATTGTTCAATTAGAACCTTATTATCCAAAAACATACTATTATAATACTAGAAGGATAAAAATACAATTAAAATTTTTATTTTATTAGAGCTAAATTACACATTTAGTATTTTATCTCATTTTTAGGACCTAATTTAATTATTTATCTTTTCAAAAATTCAATTTGGTCCTCTATGTTTATAAAGTAATTTAAAATGGTTCTTTTCGTTGAGTACTTAACTGTCAACATTAAGTTAACCATTAATTATACATGTAGGCATAATTTTTAATAGGACAAAGGACCAAATTGAATCTTATAGAAAATTAAATTTATTTAAAGCATAAAATATCAAATAAATGTAATTGAAAAAAAATGTATTATCGCAATTCCATAAAATGATATTGGAATTAAAACAACCTAAAATAATATAAAATGTACTCCAATACAATTAAATAACTTTGAACAAACTTTAAATCAATTACGAGTAAGAAAATAAGTGCATTTGCATAATAACTTTGTGAATTTAAAGTTTTTCATGATAACAATTGCATTACAAATATGAAGTTCCATTTGCTAAAGTTACTATCAAAAATGGTTACGTCAAATTAGTTTTAAAAAAATTGCACATCCTAACATATAATTAAAATTTGTTCACACAAAAGTTTAACAAAAATCTCACATTTTAATAGCTAACCAAAAAAAATCAAATTAAAGGTTTTGCTACCTTGATAGTTTGACTTTCCTCTTCAATTGGAGACTTGCAAATAGTTGTATTTGACTTCGCATAAGGAGATTGTTGAACCAAAGATGGTTCCATGCGTCTAATACTTTAGTTTTGATGATAATAAGACGGTGATCTTGATATACTAATATTTGTCTAAGTCATTTCACGAAGTATGTGTCCAAGTAAGTAGAAGGAACGAAGAATAAAAATGCTTTTATAAATAACTATCTTCTACAAAACGTGTAAAATAAGACAAATATAACACTTAGTAAAATAGGTCAATCATCTTCTATGTTTAATGTCCAAACCCACGACGAGCATTTACGTCTATTATGTATTCACAAATCCAATGCTTGTAGAACATTTTCGCACCTTTAAACAACAATTCAAATGTTTGAAAGCATATTATGATAAACGCTTTCATAATTTATAAATGTTATATTACTTTAACTTTTCTTTTGTGTATATGTGCATACTTGTATAGTGAAACTGAACAAGCATAGCGTCCAAAAAAGAAAAGTCATTCACAAAAAAAATTATTAGTGCAAAAAGTAGCATGTTTAGAATCAAGACTTTGTACTTCATTCCTTTTCAACTTAAGCATTTATGAAGCTCTAAAGCATTTCAACAAGTGTGAAAAACAGTCACATTTGAAGATCGAAGATATAAAACTCAAACGACAAAGTGTTGAAGGATCTCACCAACAAATATATATCTGAAACTTATAATAAAAAAAGTCTTGAAGACAACAAATTATTAATAATATATGTAGAACTTTTATGAATATTGTACAAATGCTTTCTTAGTTGTTAAAAAATTATGACAAAATTGTTTTAAGTCTAAACATCTTGTAGAGTCATAGTCTAATTAACGATTAGTGAAAAAGCTAAAGTTTAGTTATCTTTGCCTTAGCAAGTCAAACCTCATCCAAGTGTACCTAAAGCTTATATCCTCTCATTGAGAGTTTTTGTGTAAACACTCAAACCTTTTCACATATTGTAAGTCTGAAGACGCTAGTGAAAGAATATTGTAACATGTTGTTATGTCTTGGTCAAGAGTGATATATAAAATACTTGTTGTGAAAGTTTATAAGTTAGTGGAACTCTTCGAGTTTGAAGGTAATTGAACATAATTGAGGTTGAGTGAACTAGCAAAAAAACATAAAGTTTTTTTCACTATAGTCTCATCCCTCACATTGTTGGACAAACAAGCTTTCCTTACAACTTATAATTGTCATTTTGCGAAAAAACTTTAAAACCTACACATACACATTCAACCCTCTTTAGTGTATTTCTTTTTGTAACAACCCGGCTGGTCATTACACACGGCACCGCACACTAGAAACACCGCACAAAAGAGAACAAATGTATACATATAGAGTCTAGAATATACATATACATGATCCAGTCTGAACAGAGTTAAAGTGTACAAAAGATATTACAATCAAATGTTACTGTCACAAGTAACTACATAGCAAAAGATATCACAACAGAAATCAGCTCCACGGGTCCACCGGAGACTCACCACCAGACACCCACCTATCCCTGCTCTGCTCCCATACATTGTATGATCATTGCAGTCCACCACCATG